GTTATAATCTTAATGGAAGCAGATTGCCTGACCTTTCTCCTGTGGAGTGCCTGGGTGAGTTCATATTACCAGCCTTACCATTGTGCCACCAGGGCTCCTTTCATTAGTCATTATGTTAGGAACTAAAACCACAATGAGCTACCATTTCACAACCACTAGGATGGCTATAATAAAAAGGATGAATAAGAACAAGTATTGGGGAGGATGTGGAGAAATTGGAGCTCTCATACTCTGCTGGTGGGAGTGTAAAATGGTGCAGTCACTTTGGAAAACAGTCTGGCAGTTCCTCTGAGGTGCAATGAATTACTTAATATGGCCCTTCTAGCCAAGGTCTTTGTGACTCACACACAGTGATCGGGTGGGACCATGCAAATAGTGTATATTGAACCTGTGAGTGTTGCGGTTATATGTCAACTTAGCTGGGCCATGATTCCCAGTATTGTGTGGTTGTCTTCCATTTTATGTGTTGTGGATCCTGACCTCTACATGTTGATGAGGCAGGATTGACGTGGGGTATGTCTTGGGTCACAGCCTTGTAGGAAAGCATGACTCAAGTCCCACCCTTCCTCAAGCTATGCCCTTCCCTGGGGTGTGGACTGCATCTAAGGTATATATGTGGATGCTCTAGCTGGGCTCTCTCTATCTGCATCTGGATCCTGCATCCGGTTCATGATCATCTAACGCCTGGTCCTTGGGACTTGAGCCAGGTCTGACCTGCCGATTCTGGGATTCGCTGGCCTCTGCAGCCCAGTGGGCTGGCAGCCTATCATCTGATCTGATTCACCAGCTTCTTCAGCCTTGTGAGCCAGCAGCCTGTGGTATGAACTGCCGGTTTGGGTTCATGAGCCCCTGCAGCCATGTGAGTCAGGAGAAGCCTACATTTGACCCATGGATTTGGGACTTGCCAGCCTCCACAACCATGTGAGCCATTTCCTTGATACAGTTTGTGAGTTCTGTGAGACGTTGCAGTGAATTACAGAACCCAAAGATGGGAGGGAGAGTACTGAGGGTAGGAGCAGTAGTTGATGTTAAAGATGATGGAATGGTACAGCAGTTTGGAAAAGCTGGACATTTGGGACACTGTTAACCTCTGCCTCATAGGAACCAGCTTTGTGCTGATCCTTATGAAAGAAATTATTCATTTATCCTCAAAAGTTTAAACATAGAGTTACCATGTTGTGGGTCGTTGAGTCTATTCTGATTCACAGAGACCCTATATGACCGAGTAGAACTGTCCCAAGAGCTTCCTAGGCTGTAATCTTTATGGCAGTAGATTACCAGGTCTCTTCTCCCTTGGAGCAGCTGATCGGTTCAAACCTATGACATTTACATTAGCAGCCAAACACTTAACCATTGTGAGTTACATACGAAACAAAAATTCCTCTCTTAGGTATATACCCAAAACATAAAAATCTATGACACACAAAAATTTGTACACAGATGTTCATAGCAACATTATTCAAAATAGCTAAAAAGTGGAGAAAACAAAAACGTCCATCAATTGATGAATGGATAAACAAAATGTAGTATACTCGCACAATGGAATATTCTTTCACCATGAAAAGGAATGAAGTAACTCAAAATGGCTCAATGATCTAAATGGAAGAACTAAAACTGTAAAACTCTTAGAAGAAAACATAAAGGTAAAACTACAGGACTAGTTTCTGACAATGGATTCTTAGATATGACACCAAAAGCACAAGCAACAAAAGACAAGATAAATTGGACTTCATAGAAATTAAAAACATCTGTGCATCAAAGAACTCTATCAACAAAGTGGAGAGAGCTATAGAATGGGAGAAAATATTTGGTAAATATATATCTGATAAATGTTTAGTATCCAGAATATTTAAAGAACTACTACCACTCAACAACCAAAAGACAAACAACCCAATTAAAAAAATGGGCAAAGGACTTGAACAGATATTTCACCTAAAAAGATATACAAATGGCCAATAAGCACATGAAAAAATGTGCAATATCATTAGTCATTAGGAAAATGTAAATTAAAGCGACAAGGAGATACCACTTCAGACCTTCTAGGATGGCTATTATCAGAAAAACAGAAAATAACAAGGGTTGGCAAGGAAGTGGAAAAATTGGAACTCATCCATTGTTGGTGGTGATGTAAAACGGAGCAGCCTCCGTGGAAAACAGTTTGGCGGTTCCTCCAAAAGTTAAACATAGACTTACCACATAACCTGGAAATTCCATTCCTAGGTATTTAACTGAAAGACTTGGAAGGGATTCAAACAGATATGTGTACACCAATGTTCACTGTAGCATTATTCACAATAGGCAAAAGGTGGAAACAACTGAATGTTCAACAGATGAATGAACAAACAAAATGTAGTATTTCAATGCAATGGAATATTATTTAGCTATAAAAAGAAATGAAGTTCTGAAACATGTTACAACATGGATGAACCTTGAAAATATTATGCTGAGTGAAATAAATCAGGCCCAAAAAGACAACACTGTATGACCCCAGTTACATGAAATATAGGCAAATGCTTAGAGACAGAAGTTTATCAGTGGTTACCAGGGCTGGGCAGAGGAGGAAACAGAGTTATTGCTTAAAAGGTTCTGAGTTTCTGTTAAAGGTGGTGTTAGGAAAATTGGACTATATCAAAATTAATCTGGAGATGGAAATGGGTAGTGGTGATGGTTGCACAACATGGTGAATATAATTAATATCTCTGGATTGTACGTACTTAAAATGGTTAAAATGACAAATGGCTTGTTATATATGTTTTACCACAATAAAGATTATAATGAGGGTTAAAAAAAAAAAAAGGAATGAAGTACTGATACATGCTACAATACGGATGAACTTTGAAAACATAATGTTATGTAAAAGAAGCTAGATACAACATATCACATACTATATGATTTAATTTACATAAAATGTCCAGAAAAGGCAAATGCATAAAGACAGAAAATGGTTACCAGGGAGAAGGGGGAAGAATGAAGAGTGACTGCTAATGAGCATAGAGATTCTTTTTGGAGTGATGAAAATGTTCTGGAATTAGAAGCTGTGATGATTCCACAACTTTGTGAATGTACTAAAAAGTATTAAATTGTATACTTTAAATGGGTGAAATGTATGTATGGTGAGTTATATAAAAATAATGCTGTTAAAATTAATTTCATGCTTTCTTTCCCTGATAATCATAACTCATAACTTTCATCCTTCAGAAAAGGAAAATTTATTTATATCGTGGGATTGATGCAAATTGTCAATATTTACAATAAGCAATAAGCCTCCTCTGTAAACAACGGTCATCTTTTAAAGCAAGATATGAGGCCAATGATGGATTTTCAAGCTGCCAAGGAATAAGGACCCAAATGAAAGTTTCCAATGCCTTACCTTTCACTTCTCCATAAATTCTTCCTCCTCATATTACATAAATTTCCTTTTCCAGAGCATTATATAATCTTTCAAACTTGCCACAAGCATACTAAATTTTCCATGGATCCAATTGAAATTTCACCATCTCACCTTAGAAATAACTTACATTCCATAACTAATTGATCCGTGTTTAATACGCTGACGCAGGTCTCTAACTGCCAAAAACCTAATATCAAGTCTTTCAACGGGAAATTTTATTAGAGCACATAATCCAAGTCTGCAGTAGTTGAAGGGTGTCATACTAGGCTAAGTGTCACACATCATTCTGTTGAGGCAATCTCCCAAACTTATTTCATCATAGTAAAAAAACCTGATTTATTTGATTATTCAAACTCTTTTTACCTGTATTGGTACCGTGACTGATGAAGGCGATAGATCCACGCTACCTTCAATTTTAGTACCAGTTATGTGACAGAGCAAGACTAGAGGAAAGTCAAGATTAGGCTGTAAGGATGGATCCTTCCTAATCCTTCGTTAACCAGTGTTAAGAAATGAATGCTAATCAGAATCATTAATGAGTTGATTAATTGGATAAGTATTCATTGTGCATCTGTCCCATGCAATGGTAGCATAACGAAGGGCTAGGCATGGGGGCCGCGAAGGAAGAAAAGTCTGCCTTCCCTTATATCTTCTAGTTGCGTTTCCTCCTTTATTACATTCATGATCATTTGTTACAAATATCAAATTCTCTCCACGAGAGAGACTATACTGAGTAGGTGACCATATTCTTGTTCCCAAGGAAGGTACTGTATAATTTAGATAACTATGCAATTGGAAGGGAAAATTCGTCAGAGAACAAAGTCTTGATCGTGACGAAGCCCAGTAGTTTCCAGGGCCATCAGATACCTATGCTGAATTCAGAATTTCCACGCCGACAGCTCCCACGTCGCAACCTGGAGACCCATGGGACTAGAGAGACGCCCAAGTTCCACACGTAAGGAACCTCAAGTCCCAGAATCCCACAGGAAATACAAATCCCAGAATCCCGCACTCAAATCTACCCCGAATCCCCAGCGGCTGACTGCCGACGCGACCAAGTTGGAAACTGGGATGATACAGTGCAACTTTTGTTGTCTGCCATTTTCCTTGTATGCAAAGGGCTTTTTACAGAGCTATAGTTACCCGACTTTTAGTATCATCTTAATTAAAGCTCCAAAGAAAGGCCCCTCCCGGCGTATTTGGTGTGATTATCAGCTCCTCACCTTCCCTCTCCCCCCTTTCTCTGGCCTCCATAAGAATGGTTCGGCCTGGCATTGAGGCTCTGTGAGTTGGATCGATGGTTGCGCCCGCCTTATCCCGGAATGTGGGCCTTTGGAGCGAGCGAGGTGGGAGGGACGGAGAAGCGGCGATTCACTGGGCCGCGCCTGCGGTAGAAGCTGCGGCAGTCGCCGGGGTGGGAGGAGCCGCGTGGTTCTGGCTGCCGAGGCTAGGCGAGGCGACCCTTGGGTCGGCGCTGCGGGCGGGGAGAGCAGGTAGGTAGGCGAGGGGACACGACTCTCGGAGAGGCTCGGGCGGCGAAGACCCCTACGGCGTCCGGCGCCCCCTCCCGCCCCCTTGGCCCCGGGCGTTGAGGCTGGAGAGGGAGGAGATGCCGACCCAGAGGGACAGCAGCACCATGTCCCACCGGGTCGCAGGCAGCGGCGGCAGCGGGGACCATTCTCACCAGGTCCGGGTGAAAGCCTACTACCGCGGGTGAGTGGCGCGGGGTGAGGGCGGCAGGGGAGAGGAAAGGCCAGCTCGATTTGGCTTGGAGGAGGGGAGAGTGAGGGGCCGAAGGTGTCGTGGGCGGGTTGGGCTGAACGAACGTCTTCTGGGACTCCGGGAGGGTGACAGAGTGGTCGGGGGCGGGAGATGGAGGTGCAGATTGGAGGCACCCCCAGGCGTGGTACTGGGAGCCTGAGGCGGGGGGCACAGCAGGATCTGAGGGGGGAGCTTCGAGATAGAGAAGGTGCACTTGGTGGGTGGGAGAGACTCACCCACTGAGAGATTTCTAAGGCCTTTTACGTCAAGTCTGGATGTGTTTTGGTTGAGACTTGAGGATTCTGAGTAGTGTCTCAGTTAAATCAGTTCGTTACGGTTTTAGAAGAGAGGACTGCATCAGTTTAGCTGGTCCTTTCGATTACCAGCAGGCCTAAAGCGCCTGGTTCTCTAAGTCAGGTTTATCTTCATGAAGTGTATCTGGACTATAGTCAGGCTGCCGATATATCAGACGCAGGAGTTATTATTATTTAAGAGTAAAGTTGATGAGTTTTCAAGGATGTGCGTTAGGTTCTTAGGTCTTGCCAAGATTAGGCTGCATATGTGTTAATTAAAATTTTGTGAACCCGTTCTTGCCATTGTTGATTCAAGGACCATCCTGTAGGGTGAGCTATTGCAAGGTGAGAAGAGGAAGAGCCTAGGCACAAGTCTTATATTCTGCGATCTTTACTCATATTATTACCTAAATTATAACTCCTGTGGTTACCAGAAATAACCTATCCCTAAAACCATTGTATTAAATCATATTCTATCATCAGTGACCCGAAGTGCCCCCGTTCCTTTGAATTCAGTTGTGATTTTTGAAATTTCTTTGAGATAACTGTATTTAGGAGTGTTAGAAAGTTGAAATGTTAGTGTGGGCATAAAGAATGGACACTAAGGGTTAACAGAAAACCCAGCTGCTTGTCCAGGCAGAAGTAAATTGCTTCAAAAACTGAAGCACTGGAAAGAAAAAAAAAAAACCCTCAAGTACTACAAGATTGAAACTGCAGTGCATACGTTCACATTCCTGAGAGGATCAGTGAAGACAGAAAAATCTCAAATTGCCTCTCTTGTTTTAATTTCAAAGAAAAAAATAAGCCCCTAAATGTTTTATTGATTTGATGTAAGAACTTACTAGTTTGCTGCCTTTATTTATTAGCTTGACTGTGTTCAGGACTGTTTAAGGAGTTATATTGGACAGTATTGTATCTGTGTTTTTACTTAAACTGATCAAGGGGGTGTTGATTTTAAAACAACACCAAGAAGTGTAAAAAGTTTGTAGTTGTCGTAAGAGCTGTTTTAACTTGAGGATGGTCAGCCATGTATTTTGCATTGTGGGAAAAGTTTTGCTTCCTTTATCTTTAATTTGATAGATGAGATAATTCACTTTAGAGGATGTTCTGTTTTATAAAGTTGACAGTCCATGAATTGGTAGGTGCAAGCAATGAGATATAGTACATGTTCTCAAAAAAACAAAAAAGATGTCTGATAATTGACAATTTTGAAAAACGAGATTAAATAACAAGAACATGCAAATTGTCAGAAGTATAAAATAAAAAGTACCTGCTACTACGCCAGCCTCCAGGGTAGCCACTGTTGACAGTTAATTTCTTGTTCTTTTGAGGTTGCCTTTAATACTTTTAAAAGATGTATTCTGTTTTGTGGCTTATCAACTTTAGAAAGTATCTGTTGATTCCTTCCCCTGAGAGATGAGAAATTGGGTGCACACCAGTTTCTGTTTCCTTTCTTCCCTTTGCCTCTCAATTTTTGGTTGTTAATTATCGTATTAGTTCTTCTGATTACCTTTATAACTTTAAATAATATAAATTCTTGACTTATTAACCTTAGATAATCTCCAGTGACTTCAACTATGAAAGATGAAGTTAGTGCTTTTTCTTTTTTTCTATTTTATTAATTTTACAAACATAAATAGGCCTAGTTAGTAAATCCAAGTGATTGTAAACTTACCTTTTGGAAAGAAATTGAAGTCTGCTGTACTCTAGGAACATAGGTATTTTATGTTGTCTTGGCTTATTACTCCAATTATTAGAAGAAGAGTACGAGAACGTAATAACCTTTTTGGTGCTTTAACCTTTGAGGTGGGGAGGGAGGAGATTCAGACCCAGTGGGATAGCAGAACCATGTTCTATCTGGTTGCAGGCAGCAGCAGCATCAGGGACCATTCTCCAAGACGTTCAAGTTAATGTTTTCTTTGGTTTTTTAAAACTTATGGATTTTTGCTAAGCAGAGACAAGAATTAACCCCTTCTCTTTAGTGCTTTTTATTCAAAGAAAGCTTTCTAGTAGTGCCTTCATTTCAAGCTGCGTTTAAAGACAACATCAGCATCTAAATTGTATCAATTTCTGTCCTATGAAATTAGATCTGTTAAGATTATGTTTGTTAATAATAGTCTGAACTGATGGTTGTGATGTTACAGAGTCAGCTGCTCATTACTACTGTTGAAACGAAAATGAGTCACCAACAAGTTCAGATAATAAACAGGCTGGCTAACTAGAACACCTTCTACATGGTTTTAAAGTAGAAAATCCTACTTTTATACCAAGAAATGTGAGGACAATCTGTATTTGAAAAAGTTTTATTTTCCCTCAGGTTTTCTGAATGGCCTTGCCCTTATCCCCTTCTAGCAGTATTTCTTTCCAGTGGTTGTTGAATCTCGGAATAGCCAGAAGATTTATTTAGTGAATTAATTGCCCTCTCCTTTCAAAGATGTGTCTACTGTTCACATTTTGTTAGGTTTGACTTCAGTGAAAATGTGATGTCTTCCTAGATATAACAGTTAACTCGATTTTTTTGTAGTTTTACACAGGAGATTAATAGTAGTGAGAATCTGATTTTTATTGGAAGCCATCTAAGAGTACCTGTCTCATGACATGTACTTCTCTTTCCCTCCCATAGGATCTTTTCAGTGAGTCGCCTTCTTCAATCATTACCAAGAGGTGTTAGTTTGGAGGAAGAGAAACAGGTTTTGTTGGTTAGTAATAGATTGCCATTGTATGTACTTACCCTCATAAAAAAGGTTAGCTTGATATTATGGGATAGAATTTAACAAGGAAATGTCTGGACTACTAATTTCTTTACATTATAAATATATGGGAAAATCTGTAGAAAGCTTGGAAAAATGCTTTTTAAACCATTGCTATTGATCAGTTATAACAGACCAGAGAATTCCTTCCATGAACGTCTAGAAATAAGATATTGTTAACTCCTTGCGTATTTGGAGTGTATAGCTGGTCCTATGAAGAATTATGCAGGATTTTTCTCACTGTGAACAAGTCTTGGCAAGACTTGTTCCTTAAAGTATTGCAAGATTATTTTAGCAATGTACTTTAGTGATGGTTTTAAGGAAATAAAAATAGTATCTTGAGTTGAGGGTTGGGGGAAGGTTAGTTGTTTGATCTTGGAGCTCCTGGCATGGCACCTAACCCTGGGGCAACTGAGCCACATTTTAAGAGACCACAGTGACCTAGTGCCAAAAAATAAGACCAAAAAAGCCTCTCAGAAATTTGAATTAGAAAATATGGAGAAAAATTGCTTGTTAGCAGTGGGGACTGAAGCTGAAGAGTTGAGAGAGTAGCTGGAGAGGCCAAGATGGACCATCAGCAAAGTGAAGGTCTGAGCAAGCAGAAACTGAGGAAGCGGAGGGTAAAGAAGCGGCTCTGTACAGGCAAATTCTTCCTAGAGGTTTTTAGTTCATGGTAACTTCCTAATACAACTCCTACCTCCCTTTTTAAGGTAAAACCTGAGTCTCTCTTTCTCTCTTTTTAATATGGTTGAAATGAGCCTAATTAAACCATGAATTTTTACTTTTATGAATTTTTAGTTCTTGTCCTAAGTCTTGCTTAGGATTTCAAATATTACCCAAAGAGTGTTTAAATCTGGTTTAACTTTAAGGAAGGCGCGGAGGATGTATAGGTGGGTAATAGAAGACTGCCCCTGAGCAACTAAGGAATTTGTGAGAGAAAAGATGTGCCCGTAGCCATCTATTCCCTCTCATAGCAACCTATAGGGCAGAGTAGAACGGTCGCATAGTTTTCAGTGGGTTAGAACCACTGACCTTCCTGTTAGCAACTGAGCACTTTAACCACCACACTCCCATGGCTCCTTGAGGGAAAAGATATAAGCAATTACAAAATAGTTAAAATTGACGTGTGTGTGTGTGTGTGTGTGTGTGTGTGTATCTTAGTCATCTAGTGCTGCTATAACAGAAATACCACAAGTGGATGGCTTCAGCAAACAGAAAGTTTATTCTCTTACAGTCTAGGAGGCTAGAAGTCTGAATTCAGGGTGCTAGCTCCAGGGGAAGGCTTTCTCTGTCTGTTGGCTCTGGAGGAAGGTCCTTGTCATCAGTCTTCCCTTGGTCTAGGAGCTTCTCTGTCCAGGAACCTTGGGTCCAAAGGACATGCTCTGCTCCTGGCATTGCTTTCTTGGTGGTATGAGGTCCCCATGTCTCTCTGCTCGCTTCTCTCTTTTATGAAAGAGATTGATTTAAGACCCAACCTAATCTTGTAGATTGAGTCCTGCCTCATTAACATATCTGCCCCTAATTCCACCTCATTAACATCACAGAGGTAGGATTTACAACACATGGGAAATTACCTCAGATGACAAAATGGTGGGCAGTCACACAATACTGGGAATCATGGATTAGCCAAGTTGATACACATTTTTTGGGGGGACAGAGTTCAATCCATAACAGTATGTCTGTGTGCGTGCGTGTGCATGTGCACTAAAAGGTATCTGCAGAAATAGATATAGGAGCACTGGTGGTGTAATGGTTAAGCGCTTGGCTGCTAACCAAAATGTCAGCCAGCGGTTTGAACCCACCAGTATGACTCTCCGGGAGAAAAGATCTGGTGATCTGCTCCTGTAAAGATTCCAGCCTAGGAAATCCTATGGGGCAGTTTCTTTTTTGTAGGGTTGCTGTGAGTCAG